TGTCGTCGCTGTTGCTGCTGGGTTCGTCAGGTTGTGTCTCTCTGGCGGTCGCGCTCTGCAGCTTGATGTCGTTCGTGCTCTTCTCGATTGTATCCGCGAGCTCGTCCGGATCAGCTGGTAGATGTTCGCGCTGTAGTTTGGAGCCCAATGCCTGTTGGCATTCGTCGCAATCGGCGCGTCCTCGAGGCCAGTGCGCGGAGTGTCTGGTCGGTCGTGGGCGTTTGGACTGGTTGTCTGTCTTGGGCCCCCAAGTGCTGAGACACATTTGTACGGGCGCGGCTTTGTGGTCCGAGTTGAGATCAATGATGTTGCTGGCTTCGGAATTTCTGCGCGAGAGTAGCAAACATCTGCCTACCAGTATGTAATCGTATTGTCGTGGCTTGCCGCCTTTCGTCGCGTAGGTGATCAGCTTGCCCAGAGGCTTGCGGAAGAACGTGTTCACGATTGCCAGCCTCTCTAAGGTAGCCCAATGGCGTAACCATTGGCCTCGGGAATTTTCGTCGCCGAATCCGTGGGGGCCCACGTAGCGAGAACACATGTCGGAACGGATATCCTCAGAGCCGGCGTCTTCGCGAAGAAGTTCACTCGGAAGGCGTGGTTTGGAGCCGCCTTGAGCGTTGAAGTCGGCCGCGAGAACTGTGCGGATCCGTCGGGAACGTGCCTCTTTGAGTCAAGCGCTGACGATGTCGCACAACTGCTGCAGGTGGATGTCCATGTACCCTGTGTGGGGGAACTATGCCGATATAAGTTGTAATATGGTTTTGCCCTTCTTGATTGTGAGCGTAGCAATCCTCGCGGAGATAGCCTGGAACTCTGCAACGTGTTTGCCCCAACGTTTATGCAGAAGGATTGCGACTCCGTGCGAACGGCTGTCATTGCCAGACCCCGCAAAAGTATGCCCGTCTGAAGTGATCCACAATTATTGTCGCGTCGTCCGCCACGTCTCACTGAGCAGAACTGCATCCCAATGCGCATTACGTAAATCATATAATAAGTCGTCAATCCGGTCATCTGTCTCCAAGGATCTCGCGTTTTTGTGAATGACTGTGAAATCGATGTTAGTGTCGTGGCTGGTGTCCCCGATGGCTTCGCTGGTTTGGCCGCTGGTCTGTCCAGTCTGGGAGGAGGCGGTCGGAGGGGAGGGCTGGGCAGGGCAGGAATGAAAGCCGTCGCCTGCAATGGTGCTTTCTGTTCGCCCTCCGCAGGGGCCGCGACAGGGTGGTCGGAGTCGCAAGGATGCAACGGGGAAGTCGCTTGCTACTTCGCTGTACTTTCCTCTTCCTCCTCCCCCGGTGATTAGGTTGGCCGGTGCTGCTGGTTGGCGGTGGTCGGTCTGGCTTTCTGCGGACGTCGTTTTTGGTGAACAGTGCAGGTCGCTGCTAGTCGGGTTTAGGCTGTCTGGTGGTTGGTGGACTGTGGAGGTCCCTGCTGAAGGTCGTTGCTGATCATTGTTGGCGTACTCTGCTCGTCCACCATAGTTGTGGCGCGGCGGTCGAAATCGCAAGGATGCGACGGGGAAGTCGCTTGCTACTTCACTGTGCTTTCCTCGTCCTCCTCCTCCTGTGTGTGTTGGTAGTGGGGTGTGCAGGTCGGTGTTTGGGTTGGTTGGTGCTGCTGGTCGGTGGTCGGTTTGATTGTTCGTGAGCGTCATCGCTGAGGGTCCGTGGAGGTTTTTGCTGGTCGGTGTTGGTCGTGGTCGGGACTGCTGGTCGTTAGTTGGGCTGTTCGGCTGGTCGTTGATTGTTGCCGGCTGTCTGCCGGGGTCGCTGTTGATCACTGCTGGTTGGTCTGATGGTCGGTGTTGGTGTTCGGTGGTTGATTTAGTCGGCTGGTCGCTGGTCGGCGCTGGTTGTCTGGTGAAGTCGCTGTTGGTGGTCTGTGGAGGTCGCTGCTGGTTGGCGCTGCTGGAGTGCGGAGGTTGCTGCTGGTCGGTGCTGGCGCGTCGGTTGGCGCTAGGTTCGCCAGGCCGTGGATGGTCCAATTTTCGAAGCTGTCGTTCACGAACATGGCCGGGACGTGGTCGGAGAGGGGCGTCTTCCGGCGAGTCGACGTTGCCAGACTCCGTTGTTCTACCACTGGAGGTTTCCAAGCTGGATTCAGGTCGTCGCGCATCGCCGGTGCAGGATGCACAGCGGCACGTCGCCATATACATCGCTGTAGGCACGGCTTCCTCCTCCTCTTCCTCTTGCTGGCGGGGGCTGGTAGTCGATAAAGGGAGGTGGAGGTGGAAGGTCGGATGCTGGAGGTTGGAGGTCGGAGTGCTGAGCAAGTGGGACCTGGAGGTCGATAGGTAGAGTTGTTGTTGGACTCTCGGATGCTGGAGGCTGGATGTCAGAGTGCTCAGCTGGTGGACGCTCGGAGTCGACAGGTGGAAGCGGAGGTGGAAAGTCGGGCTCTGGAGGCTTGTTGTCGGAGTGCTGAATGGGTGGGAGCTGGAGGTCGAGACGTGGAGGTGGACGTGAGGAGCTGAATGCTGTTGGGCGGAGGTCGGAGTGCTGAGCTGGTGGAGGTTGGAAGTCGATAGGCGGAGGTTGCAATGAAAAATCGGATGCTGGAGGGCGGGGGTCGGAGTGCTGAGCTGGTGAAAGCTGAAGGTCGAATGGTGGAGGTGGAGGTGGAGAGTCACATGTTGCTGGAGGGTGGAGGTCGGAGTGCTGCGCTGCTGGGCGCTGGAGGTCGATAGGTGGAGGTGGAGGTGGAAAGTCGGTTGCTGGAGGGTGGAGGTCGGAGTGCTGAGCTGCTAGACGCTGGAAGTCGATGGATGGCGGTGGATGTCGAAAATCACATGCTGCTGCAGGGTTGAGGTCCGAGTGCTGCGCTGCTGAACTCTGAAGGTCGACAGGAAGAGGTGGAGGTGGAGAAGTCGGATGCAGGAGGGAGGAATTCGAAGTGCTGAGCTGCTGGACGCTGGAGGTTGATGGGTGGAGGTGAAGGTGGAGAGTCACATGCTGCTGGACGGTGGAGGTCGGAGTGCTGTGCTGCTGGGCGCTGGAGTTCAACAGGTGGAGGTGGATGTGGAAGTCGGATGCTGGAAGGTGGAGGTCGGAATGCTGAGCTGCTGGGCGCTGGAGGTTGATGGGTGGAGGTGACGGTGGAAAGTCACGCGCCGCTGGGCGGCGGAGGTCGAAGTGCTGCGGTGCTGGGCGCTGGAGGTCGATAAGTGGAAGCGGAGGTGGAAAGTCGGATGCTGGAGGGTGGAGGTCGGAATGCTGAGCTGCTAGACGCTGGAAGTCGATGGATGGAGGTGGATGTGGAAAACCACATGCTGCTGAAGGGTTGAGGTCGGAGTGCTGCGCTGCTGAACTCTGAAGGTCGACAGGTAGAGGTGGAGGTGGAAAGTCGGATGCAGGAGGATGGATGTCGGAGTGCTGAGCTGCTGGACGCTGGAGGTCGATGGGTGGAGGTGAAGGTGGATAGTCACATGCTGCTGGGCGGTGGACGTCGGAGTGCCGTGCTGCTGGACGCTGGAAAACAACTGGTGGAGGTGGAGGTGGGAAGTCGGATGCTGGAGGGTGGGGGTCGGAGTGCTGAGCTGCTGGACGCTGGAGGTCGATGGGTGGAGGTGAAGGTGGATAGTCGCATGCTGCTGGGCGGTGGACGTCGGAGTGCTGTGCTGCTGGACGCTGGAAGTCAACTGGTGGAGGTGGGGGTGGGGGGTCGGATGCTGGAGGGTGGAGGTCGAAGTGCTGCGGTGCTGGGCGCTGGAGGTCGATAAGTGGAAGTGGAGGTGGAAAGTCGGATGCTGGAGGGTGGAGGTCGGAATGCTGAGCTGCTAGACGCTGGAAGTCGATGGATGGAGGTGGATGTGGAAAATCACATGCTGCTGAAGGGTTGAAGTCGGAGTGCTGCGCTGCTGGACTCTGAAGGTCGACAGGTAGAGGTGGAGGTGGAAAGTCGGATGCAGGAGGGTGGATGTCGGAGTGCTGAGCTGCTGGACGCTGGAGGTCGATGGGTGGAAGTGAAGGTGGATAGTCACATGCTGCTGGGCGGTGGACGTCGGAGTGCTGTGCTGCTGGACGCTGGAAGTCAACTGGTGGAGGTGGAGGTGGGAAGTCGGATGCTGGAGGGTGGAGGTCGGAGTGCTGAGCTGCTGGGCGCTGGAGGTCGATGGGTGGAGGTGAAGGTGGAAAGTCACGCGCTGCTGGGCGGTGGAGGTCGGAGTGCTGCGCTGCTGGGCGCTGGAGGTCGATGGGTGGAGGTGGGGGTGGAGAGTCACATGCTGCCGGAGGGTGGAGGTCGGAATGCTGAGCTGCTGAACGCTGGAGGCTGGAGGTCGATAGGTGGAGGTGGAGGTGGAGAGTCGATTGCTTGAAACTGGATGTCGGAGTGCTGAACCGGAAGTAGAGGTGAGATGCCGAAGTCCGTGGGTAGAGGCAGGGTTCGGGCATCAACGTCTCGCCAAAGTGGTCGTACCCTCTGGACTCCTGTGCAGTGGGTGGGACGGTTGCCGGACATCTTCGGGCAATGTCGTTCCCAATGTGTCTCCGGCCGTTGTCGGAGATGTGGTAATACTCCGGGCGTTCGGCTGCATGGCCGTGATCATGGGAGGGCCCGTCGTAGAGAAAATAATGTTGAGGATAAGGTTCAGGAGGATCAAACACTTCTGGAACCAAGGCGGTGGATATCCCAAAGTCCGTCCTGGAAGAGGCGGTCGCTGGGGTACTGTCAGAAGCGGTAACTTTGCCCAAACCCACAGTAACACCGAAGGCGGGGTTGGAATTGGGACAGGGGTCGGCGATGGTGTTGGAGTCGGCGATGGTGTTGGAGTTGGGAGTGGAGTGGAGGATAATATGGAGGCCTGTCGCCATCCGTGGTGGGGCAGCTGTCGTCATAGATGTCCTGTCGGAATGTAGTCGGTCCTCTTGAGCAGTCCGTGGTTTGAAGGCCGGTGGATCGTCGAGTGCAGCATGACCTGTTGACGTCGAAGCTCCGTCGCGGCTCCCGAAGGATATAATAGTTCCTGTAGGTAGTTCGTCATAAACACATAAATGCATCTCCCCCCCATCCTCCCTCGATTTTGTCCGCGGGTCTGGAGTCCGCGACGGAAAGACAATTAATACTGTAGGCGTCGAGCTTGTGCGGGTATGCTGTGAAACTGCAAGATTCGCTCGGTAGTTGTGGCGTCACTCGTTTTCCGAAACTGGACCGGGTTTTACCTTCTCCCGCCACTTCTGCATTGATTCTTACACTTCGGCTTCAACCAGCTTCCCGGTCTTAGTCGTGTGCCGATTCCCGTCGCCGTCGTGCCATCCTATCTTTTTCTCTCCCCCCATCCCGTCCTTCACCACAACCGTACTTTTCGACCGAATGATCTTTATGTCTGCGTCGCGATGTTGCGGGTGCTGGGCCAAATGGTGTTTCGCATAGCCTAGTCGTTTTTCTCGTTCCATTTCCTCTTTGGTCAGGTTGTTCCGGAAGAAAATCTCTCCCAGCGCCTTCTCGTCGCCATTGAGGGCGTCGCGTACTTTTTTTCCAAAATCTGACCTTCGACTGGGTAGAGGGGAACTCGACGACGCCGAACCTCGTTGAGCCAGTTGTCAGCACTGATGCGTCCGACTGCTCGCCCAAGAGTTGTTGTAATACCTTTTTATTTTCAAGTCTTTATCACTTTTTCAGCGGAGTCGCCCCCGTCGAACCCAAAAGCAATTACCTGTTTGGCACGTGTTTCTTTTTCCGTACTGTCTTGCCTCCTTCCTCCTGGTCCGTCCACTTCTGCGCACAGGCCCTGGGAGGTTGCCTCATGGTGCCCCTCGCGCCCTGAAGTTTGCTGTCTATGATCTCCTCGATTTCGGTCTTGGTCAAGTACATCTCCTCAGGATCGTTCCGAATACCCTCCACGTTCATCTCTACCTCTTCCATCTTGTCCTGAACCTCCTCCGCTGCTCTCCTTGCGTCCTGTGCTTCGATCCTCGCCTGGTCGATCATGTGTTTGACTCCGTTCAGGTCGGTCGTGATACCGTCGATTTGTTTCGATATGCGGGCGTCCACATCCATAAACCATTGTGGAGGAGCCTCCGCGGCCACGATCTTGTCATTCGAGCCCCGTGCTGACATTGCCATTTCTCCATATTCCTCCTCCTCCTCCTTCTTCTTCTGCTTCACTGGTGTGGACCCGGTATTGCCACCGGCGCGCTTGCCCCTATCTGCCATCCCTGCCCAGAACGGTGCAACAAGCTGTAGAGAGATGGTGAGTAGGATGTCGGAGTGGTAGTGTTACTAGGATGAGGGAAAGCTTGATAGGGAAAGCTTGAGCCAAAATGGCTACGGAGGGGCTGAAGGACCACGCCTTGGCAAATGGCCTATGCCTCCTCGCCGTAGTGCGAAGCCTAGCCTCGAAATGTTGGGCTGGGGACCCCTTCAAACCCAGCCGCCGTGCACTCAGTAAAGATATAAAGGCATCGCAGCGTTCAGCACGAAGAATAATGATCTCAGGCGGTGCAGGGAAGAGAAGGAGGAGGAGGGAGAACCAGAAAGGCTGCCCAGAGGGTTCACGTGAACTCAACATACGATTCTGCAACCACCCTTGAATCAACTGTTTGAACTGGGGCCAGCAACTGGTGCCAGGATCCCAATCTCTCCCAAAGAGACGCTTTTGTTCAACGAGGTGTTCACTGGCGGCTCCTGTTTAGAACCAGGGGGGCACCAATGCTTTAAGTTTGCTGGTTGGCCCATTGCCTCATGTAGTTCACATGGGGAACTATGTGCTTAAATGATAGGGCGCGTGGGTAACCTCCTGCCCCATCCTCCCCCGCTGCCGAGCAGCGTGTTGTGCCTGCTGCTGGTCGCCATGCCCATCCCCACGCTCAAATGTTTGTAGATGCTCAAAGTGCCGTTGACGTCCACAAGAAGACAAGTTTTTCTCGGACTGAAGTCTACTGGGTCTTAGGTGCTCGCTGGGGCCGCTCAGGCTCCTATTGGCCCCAGGGCAGACAAAATCAAACGCACGGTGACACACACTCGATACCACAATATGATGGACAATTGAGTCCAACTAAAGGCAACGATGTCGACCGTCTCGTCAAGATGGCTGCTGGGAGGGTCCACAGACCCAACACCACTGAGGGAGAGCAACAGACTGCAGAGGTCAAGTTTCTATACACATATGTTCAGTGTGTGTCGGAGGCACTCCAACTCTGGCCCACGATTGCCCCGCGTGCTGGTTCCAAGAGGCTCCCGAGCCCAGAAAGACTTTTGAATCCGCCCACGTGAGCGGCTGCAGCTGGGCCCTCCTGGGGACTCGAACCTCCTCCGCCTCCGTTCCCTCCTCCTCTGGCTCTCTGGCTCCTGGAGACGAGATCTGGACCAGGAGGGCCCATCGGTGACACACATGGGGCAAGGGATGGCTCAGTGCTGCATGCAGACAGCGCTGCGGCAGCGAAGCTGGCGTAGCACGCAGAACCAACAAGCATTGCCCAGGTTCCTGCGCCCACCACTCTGAGCTGCTGGCCAATCCCAGAGGTCATTCTCCATCTTTCTACGGACATGCGGACGAGACGATCCCTTCGAGTATCATACTTTGCATGAAGTGCAATTGTTTATCAGGAGGAGCCCGAGGAGTTCAAAGCAAGTGCCCAGATCGCCCCCCAATCACGAACGCATGTTGCAACAACAACGTGCCAGAAACGGGAGGCATCCGAAGGGTTCCGCTGGTCCACCCACTGTTTTGAAATCTCCCATCCCACTGGCTCAGAATAGCAGGGAACTGGAGCAGCAGCCGGAGCCAGCCGACCTCACTTGAAGCTAAACCGAACTCGCCAGTTGTACGCCATCGCCTACGTCTTGCTGCAGGCGGGGTCCGAGCCCATCGAACTCTTCAGTCTGAGCATTGGTCCTCCTCCTCCTCCTCCTCCTCCTCCTCCTCCTGCTGGTCCTCCTAGTCAACCTCCTCCTTCTTCTCCCCCTCCTCCCCCTCCTCCTCCTCCCCTCCTCCTCCTCCTCCAGATGAAACTCCTCCTCCTCCTCCTCCTCCTCCTCCTCCTCCTCCTCCTCCTCCTCCTCCACGTCATCCTCCTCCGCCTCCTCCGATGCCCACCTTGCTGACCTCGATAAGGACGAACAGGAGCACGGCGAAACACATCGACACCGCAAGCCGAGCCGGCGGCAGGGGCAGCAGGCCACTGAGCCCTGCGGAGGGGGGATCCTCCTCCTACCCCTCCTCTTCCTCTTTCTATTCCTCCTCATCCTCCTCATCCTCGCCTTCGTCCTCGTCCTCCTCCTCCTCCTCCTCGTCCTCGTCTTCCCCTCCTCCTCCTCCTCATCCTCCTCCTCGTCCTCGTCCTCTTTCTCGCCTCTTCCCTCCCTCTTTCTTTTCTTTCCATTGGCCTAGATCAGAATCCTGATGGCCAGTTGCCTATCCTGTAAGTGAGTTCCTCCACAGCTTTCGCGGCTTCCTCTAAGGCGAACGCCTCGGCTGTAAAGGAAGAAATGGGGTCACGGATAAACGTCCCTGCAATGATGATCAGAGTCGCGATTTCTATCAAACCACGGCGCGTGACAGCCCCGACGCACCATGCGGCTGCAGAACACGATGCCGCTCGAGTACCGCCATCGCTGTGGATCAGAAAATTGGCCCCGCTCAGATCTTTTGATTCAGCGCGGAAGCGGTGATACCACGATTTCTTTCCATCCATGTGTGATTTATCAAGAAATCTGTTTTGATATTCCAGCCACGTCTGTGCCAAACAACCATGGTGTCCGCATCGTGCGCTGGCCCCCATCCGTATCCGATTACGTTGAATATGCTCGGGGTAATGCGATCAAACACCGGTCCGAGGGAAGGTGCTGCCAGCACGGTGGCTCCATTGACCACTCGGGCGAGAGGCTTGCAATCGGTAATGAAGAGTATGCGCCCGGCCATGCCACCCCAGTGCACGTCTGGTGCGTTATCGCCCGAAGGCTGGGCAGAGGGCCATCCACTCAGCTTCACGCGAGCATTTGTTTCGGCGAGCCCGCCAAGCAACGAAAATATCCTCCCATTCTATCTGGTACCCCATCCCAGAATGCACAATGCCTTCCTTCCGCCTTTTCCTCTCGCTGCCCATCACCTTTGCGGTCTCCCACCAGTCACGAATGCGATATTGTCGCGCCAAATGCAAACAATCTCTCTCGCCACGTAGCGGCGTGCATCTCTCACGCCGTGAATTTCCTAAGACTTCCCCGAGCACCCGACAATGTAGCGGTCAGATTTTGGTCTGCTCGAAGCTCGACTCAATCATACGAGCGGTGCGCATCATGTGTTGTGCATGCCCTTCCCTGTTTTCCGCCGGAAGCCTAACACCTTGCGCAATATGCTAAACTTCCACCTCTTAACCTTCATCAGAACGTGTTGGGTAAGATGCCACGTGGACGATCCGTGAGCTACACCAGCAGCTGGACCCCCCGACCAGGCCCGAAGTTTCGAAGTAGTAGTCCCTGGACCTCGGATTCTGTGGGCATTGCTCCAAAACTTGCGATCGCCTCTTCCGATGCTGTGGTCTTCGGACGCGTTCGTGTCCCCCTCCCTGCTGAGCAACGCCCCTGAATCCGACAAAGAGTGAACGATCTTGAGGGAGTGCGCCGCTGCTCCCATCACAGTAGGCGGATTGCCAAGGTCGGTCGCCGCGGGCTGGCAAAACATGCACTCCAGCGAAGCCGCCTTCCATGAGAAGTGGACCTCCCCGATCGTTTCCGTCAACCCTTGGACCATTATCGTGGACTCCTCTGCGCTAGGTGCTAAACAAAAAATAAGTGGTCGGACCAGATCAAAGTGGTGATGCGCTCGTCGCCGTCCCCGTTGAGAGGCGAACCATTTTCCCGCTCCTTTCCAGGTCGAACCTGTCGCAGGAATCCATGCCAAGCAGTGTGACATTGCATGTCATGCCAGACGCCTCGCGTAAAGTGCCGCCACCACCGAAGAATGCATACCTCGAGCCAGGAATGCGTTGACCATCAACTTGTGGTGCATAGTGTCGAAAACCGCCTCGATATCCATAGCTCCGTGTATAAGATGTATCCCCCAAAGGTTCGTCACAATAAGATACACTGATGAAAAATGCAAACAACGTCGTCGCAATAATGTCCTGGCCGAAACCCGAACGTAGCGACCACGCTAGGAGATGCAGATGGTTGCGTGGTGCTCAAGATATTCAAACATACTACTTCGCGCACGCATCCAGTTTCCCTACCCACCGGAATTCAGGAAGAGTAGACCGCTGTGGCACTTTAGGTCTAACCTTCAGGTCGATGAGTTTCTAGCTGTCTGGGTCATGGGACCAAGGGTCGCTTGGTCTATCATTGAACAGCTGCCAGAACTCCTTGACACATAAAGTGGGCAACGTCTTATGTATCTGAGGAAGAGCCCCGTGGTTTCCAGCCACCTTGCCGACCTTCAGCTTCGCCCTGCCGTGGACGACATTCCAAGGCTGCAGCGCGGGGCCTCCAGACCCGTCGAGTCGCGCGTTTCGCGCCGCACTCTGCAATGCGCGCATGCGAATCGCCTGAATTGCGTGCGTGCTCCCCGCGTCGTCGTGCCGGGCACGGCCGGGATCATGGGCCGCCTTCCGCCAGACCTGTCTGTCGTCTGTCCGCGGTGGCGGCCACATCGATTGTGAGGGTGGACGGCGTTCGGAAAGGAGACCTCTCCAAACCGATCGTGTCCAAGCGAATGTTGTTTTTCGTGCGTCTGGCCTTGCGGATGGCCCGCCACAGCTCCCAGGCCAAATGCAATTTCGTGTCCAGAATTGCCGCTGCCACTGCCCGTCTTGCCGCCTGGACTGGGCTATTTTATTGCTGCCGGCGCCGTCGTAGCCAGCCCCGCGCCGTAGCAAAATCACCCGGAGAAGAAACTGCCCATCCAAATATCGAGGCCGGACTAATTACCTGGGCGCTTCCCTGGCTTGGACAAGACAGATGGGTGAACAAGGGTCGATGATCAAAACGATTAAACGTTAACTTGTACCGTACTTTTTGCGACTAGGATTCCCGGAGGATGCCCGCGGACACTCCGATCTAATCCATATGCGATGTTGGTCTGTTCTCGGGACCCCCCCACCCGACAATTTCTAGCCCAGAACCGACCCTGCCGCCAGCCTGGTCGGACTCCCGCACCGTCCTTTGATCTTGGGACTCCCCACCCGACAATTTCTAGCCCAGAACCGACCTGGTCCGACCCCCGCACCATCGTGGGAGCTCTGTTCTTGGGGCTCCCCCTACCCGACAATTTCTGGCCCGGAACCGACCCTGCCGCCCACCTGGTCGGACTCCCGCATTGTCCTAGGAGCCCTTTTTTCTTGGCCCCCCCGACCATTTCTAGAGCGGAACCGGCCCTGCCACCCACCTGGTCGGACCCCCGCGCCGTCCTGGGAGCTCTGTTCTTGGGGCCACCCCACCCGACAATTTCCAGCCCGGAACCGACCGTGCCGCCCACCTGGTCGGACCCCCGCACCGTCCTGGGAACTCTGTTCTTGGGCTCCCCATCCGACAATTTAGCACAGAACCGACCATGCCGCCCACCTGGTCGGTCCCCCGCACCGTCCTGGGAGCTCTGTTCTTTGGGCCCCCCTACCCGACAATTTCTAGCCCAGCACCGACCCACCTGGTCGGACCCCCGCACCGTCCTCTGACCTTGGGAACCCCCGCCCGACAATTTCTAGCCCGGAGCCGACCCTGCCGCCCACCTGGTCCGACCCCCGCACCATCGTGGGAGCTCTGTTCTTGGGGCTCCCCCTATATACCCGACAATTTCTGGCCCAGAACCGACCCTGCCGCCCACCTGGTCGGACTCCCGCATTGTCCTGGGGGCCTTTTTTTGGGCCCCCCCGACAATTTCTAGAGTGGAACCGGCCCTGCCACCCACCTGGTCGGACCCCCGCGCCGTCCTGGGAGCTCTGTTCTTGGGGCCACCCCACCCGGCAATTTCTAGCCCAGAACCGACCATGCCGCCCACCTGGTCGGTCCCCCGCACCGTCCTGAGAGCTCTGTTCTTTGGGCCCCCCTACCCGGCAATTTCTAGCCCAGCACCGACCCACCTGGTCGGGCCCCTGCACTGGCCTGGGAGCTCTTTTCTTGGGACCCCCCACCCGACAATTTCTAGCCCGGAGCCGACCCTGTCGCCCACCTGGTCCGACCCCCGCACCGTCCTGGGAACTCTGTTCTTGGGTCTCCCCACCCGACAATTTCTAGCCCAGAACCGACCCTGCCGCCCACCTCGTCCGACCTCCGCACCGTCCTGGGAGCTCTGTTGTTGGGGCGCCCCTACCCTTCAATTGCCAGCCCGGAACCGACCCTGCCGGCCCCAGTCCGTGAACGAACCCAGCCGGCAAACGGGCGGCGGGCGACCCCGCCCGCGCGATCGCGACGGCGCCAAGCATGCATGAGTCATGGGGAAGTCCTGGCGGCAAGCCCGCCCGCCTTCCCAGGATGGCGCCGCCCAAATGAGCCGGGCGCGCAAAACAAGCGGCGACGGAGCATTAATGGCTGGGGCTCAAGCGGCTGGGGGCGCAGCCGAAGCCCCCGGGCAGGCGGCGGCAGACGCGCCAGGGCCGCCGTGGGGGGCCGCCCCCAAATCCGCGCCCCCCCAACAGGGCACAGCGGGCGACGAGCCACGGCAGGCTAGCACCCCCAGCGACACCAGCGCGCGTCCAAGACTGCGGGGGCCCAGCTGCGTGGCCGCGGCAGCCGCGCAGAGCAGTCCGGCCCTGTGGCCTGCCAATCAAAGACCTGCTGCGCGGGCCGCCGCGCTCTGCGCGAGCCGGCCGAAGCGCTGAAAAGAAAACCTCCGTGGCGGACCGCCAAACGCAGGGTTGTGAACTCCGCCGCGTAGCCTGGTATAACCTGCGAAGACGCGAAATAAGGGTATGAGTGCAGATCGCCTGTGCCAGCGTGGAAAAAAAAACATGGCAGTTGCGGAAGCAAGTGTGAACGACGTGAGATGGTGGAAAATCAGAACGTGTGAGACATGCGACAACACAGCGGTGCGCGCGCGCACGGGGGCGACCCGCCCCCCGGCCCCATGCGCCAGCCCGAGCTATGTCACTGCCACTTTTTACTGCGAGTGGCGGCAGAGCCTTTCTCGAGAAAGGCTCTGCCGTGGTCGAGGGGCCCTTCCCGCCGCCGTGGTCGAGGAGTAGCGAGCCTGCCCCTTGCTC